TCTTATTGTTAAACAACCATCTAATCCAACTGGACTTCATATTCATATGGTTACTTCACATTTCCACAAGTTGCAGCTCCCATTAATGTGAATTCCTTCAGAATCAATTGCAGTAAATGGCCAAAACACAGTAAGTGTTTGAACTCTGTGCTCTAAATCCCTCTGGGAACAAACTAGCTCATCAAGGAAAAAGTGCGTTTAGAGTTCAAAACTACATTGTATAGAACATCAAATGCCGTCCATCAATTTTTAATAGCTGCTGTCCAAAACTTTAGGGTATGGCAGTGATTTGATTACAGGACACAGCCTCAGTCTACGCTGAGCACAAAACAAAACTGTCAATCCTTTCAGAATGACTCCAGGCCATCCAAGTCCTTCATTTAAGTGATGTTAAGAGCAAACAATCAAACTACTGCTTTGGAATCCACAACACATCCATATCAGAGCATGACAAGGAGTGAAGGTGACATCTAATTTATAGCTCAAGGACCGTGTACAAGCAAATAAACAGGCACTTCCGCTCCACACGTCCTTTTCAATTTGCCTCTCCTACGGTCCAATGAGTTGAAGAAGAAAAAGAAGAAGAAGAAGAAGAAGAAGAAGAAGAAGAAGAAGAAGAAGTTAAAGATGCATAACTATGGTCAAATATTTTACTAACACTGTGATTGAACGAACCTAAAGAATTTTAATAATGCAGCCTAATATTAGCAAGAAGTTTATTAATGTGTTTTAATATATTGCAAGTACCTCTCACTTTCATTTTGCTAAGTTATGTCTTGTTTCAGGGGGAACTGCAGCTTCCCACTTTGCAGTTACTTTTTGTTATCCACTGGTCTCCCAGAAGCACTGTCCAGTGTAGTCTCCCAAGGGCACCCAAGGTAATACTTTAAAGGCAATTTTTAAAGTTCAATTTGTACTAGAAGGCTACAATTGCAGATTGTATCATAGTGACATACAGCACTCTGCAGCATGGGCTTCAGCCTGCACTACTAGGGATGGTTTGAAAGGTCAAACTAGAAATATGCATTAACAACCCTAAAAAATATATATATATATAATTGAAAATTAGTGTCATTAACATGTATATATTATTTGACACTAAATGCAAGGCATATGGCAATCATAATCACAATATGGTGTTTCATACATCTCGCCTTAGTGAGAATAAGCAGATTAGAACTGTTGCATTGTGCTAGCAAGAATACAGAACTATGGCTTTAATTCAACTTCTGTTTCTACTGAGGCTGGTCAAGTGTGCCGGGGCCCTTGTGGCTATACGGTAAAAATCCCTTCATTCAAAAGAAAATCCAAAGGAAACTCACTTCCAGCCAAAAGCAGTACAATAAGAATTATCTGAGTGACATTTAAGCCATCAAAGCAGTTGTTCTCATGCCCAAGCTTGGCTGTTGTCACGACTAGAGTTCAGGGTGGTCAATCAGTGTTGTCATTTCTCCTTGTTTCTCCTAGTTACACCCCGTCTGTCCCCAGGCTTTTTATTTTATTGTTCGGTTTTAAAACACTGGGTTATGAAAAGATACAAATACATACTTTTCCACTGGGAGTAACTTATTTAAGATACACAATTGGACCTTAAAACCACTGTTGTACCTCTGAGGGAACATTTACATTGTTTGTACCTTGATGAACGAAAAATGTGCCTGCACAGAACCTTTTCTAAAAGTGTAGGTCTCCAAATCCTACAGTATCTCCATGCTCTGACATTCTGCTGACTTTATTTTCTGCAATAATATTGCTTTTCAGAACAGTCTAAATGTTGAATTTTACAAATAAGTTAAAATATCACAAGGTGGCTTTTCCCCCAGTATCGTTCTACCCTATGCAGAATACCTTCAAGCAAGAATACAAGAGATTTTCAAAATATTTTTCAACACATCAGTCTTTTTCTCAGGCAGGTGTTGTCACAGCTCGAAATGTAAAAGAGGCAAACGGTTGAAACTTTGAACCTCTTCCTGCCCTGTCTGAGGCTTTTTTGGGTTCATTTCCAGATCTTATTAAGCAACATGTACCGTCATTCCATCTCTGCGATGTCGCTTGGTAAAGTGAGTTTAAACAGTTTGCTGTGCACTTGTAAAGCAGAAAAGATTTTTTGTGGAGTAGGTCTTTAAATATTTAAGGAGAGAGTACAGCAACTCATAGCTGAGATAACACAATACAAATCCGCAACCTGGAAGTCGTTTGCGTTTCATTTGCTCTGTTTGTTTCGCAGTTAATACGTTTTCCAAAATCAGAAATTCTGAAATTTCTCGCTACTGCGAAAAAATGCATGAGCAAATAGTATAGCTATTTGCCATAATTCGTCTGGTGGGAGTTTTGTCAGGGACCCTACACAAATAAGGTTCTCTAGAATGAAAGAAAAGATGAGGCGACAGGCTTATTTCTGGGTGAAACTGCAGGATTCATGCTGAGTTTGTGAATCTGAACGATGAGGAAATAAACAGTGTCATCTCTACCTCTTCGCTGACATTTCGCTAAACGCTCATTTTGTACAGCAAATTGGAGGTTTATGGTTAAAGCCTCTAACTCGGATTTTGGAGATGAATTACAAGAAAATAAATACGAAGTAAAAAACACCCATGGCCTGTGTCACAGTCAATTAAGCTCCCCAGGTAATGACCCCATTTGCATTGTAAAGCGTCCCCACGCGTGCAAGCATTAACGGAGACAGGACCTGGGGAGATTAATTGAGAGTGACATTACTTGAACTCTTATTTTTTTTCCCTCCTTCCTTGTCCTTCTTGTCTGTGTTTTGCTCACCCTACTGATGGATCTAGCACTATAATTTTAATACCACACTACAGGCCTGCGCATCGGAAGTCCTTCAAACTTTGACAAGTGGGAGAGGACGGAGTGATACATTATGTATCGGATGTTGGCTGAGGACTTCCTTCCTTTGTGAAGTTAAGCCTAGATTTAGAAAGAATGAATGAGGAACCGATGCTCACCACACTGAAAGAGCTGCCTGCCTATGTAACGGCAACACCGTTCGCTGTAACCTCATGTTTGTGCTCAGAGATCCTTGAAAATGACCTTGTAAAATGAAGCATCAGAGTGGATTATCTTCTCTTTTCACATGTATGATACATGCATGGAGGGTCTCTATCTTGATTAGTAGCAAAGGGGGGAAAGTAAGGTCATTATTTCCCAGTTCTTGTGCACTGTACATCACCGTATTAGGAGCTTAATTGCCACATTATACAACCAGGGACAAAATGTTAACTGATATCTACAACACGCTCATGCAAATTTCTGCCTGTGATGCAAGCATGGTGAAACCAAGCTCCTTGAATATGCCATAGATAAAGGGAAAAAAAAGCTGTAATTTGTGTCTGGTGGCTGAGGGCAGTGAGTGACATTCATTTTCTACTGAGGAGAGAGACAGAAAGAGAGAGCAGAGCAGGGTGGGAGTCGCCATAGCCCTCTAATGACCTATTTAATAGTGTAAAGGAAATGACCCGAGGTCCGAAGAGCGCCGCCTTCTCTCCAACCAAGAGAAAAAAATAATAAAAAAATGTAAAAACCAGAAACAATAGGACCACCTTAATTGTGACATTACAAGCAGCGGCACAGAGAAGAACAGAGGGGGACTGATTAAAAGGAAGAGAGGTGGGTGACTTTGTGAAAAGGTCACTGCACACTTACCTGGACTTTTCACTCTCCACCTCTCTCCCTTTCTGGAGAAAAAAGAACAGAAAGAATATAGAGAGAAAACTCTCATGATTAGAGACTGTCAATATTTTCACAGATGCCATTAGTGAAATAAGATGGTAATCTCCTGGCCGGATGTGTCAGAACAGAAAATGATAACAGGAAAGAAGATGAGTGCCAGCTGTTGGCAAAAGGCAGAGCAGGTGGGGCAGTGTTGGGGTTAATTAAGAGGTTAACAGGGGGAAATGTCTGGCAAAGGTCAAAAACGGCTACCATCCAGCATGGAGGATGTGGACTCGCTGCCAGAGCAGTGTTGGTGGCCATGTTGCAGGGCTTATTTTAATACAGCCCTGAAGAGAAAGAAGAGTGTTCTCACTGTTGTGTGATAAGCTCAAGTCTTCCACAATTCAGTGGGTATCGGTGAAGACGACCAAAGAGGTATAATTTTTTGTGGCACAACTTCTGTTGTGGATGTTTTTGGTCATACTTCAAATAAAGACGAAAACGTAGCAGACCCTCGATCGCCTGGTCCACTGTATCTGCGTCATGTTGACGAGGCAGTGGAATGGCTGGTCTTTTGACGTTAGCCTTAGCATGAAACAGAGCCACCAAACAAATTGCTACACTTCTGTTTCCTCTCGTACCACATGAGGAGCTGCCTAACTCGATCTGCTGCATCAGACGACACTACAGTCAGGTCTGGTGTGCAAAACAAGCCACAGACCAGCTGGTAACTGAAACTGTGTATGACTGTAATATTTTCCAAGAGTCTCTGATGGTCATAGGCACAAGTGTATGGGATGCACGTGTGAGACAAATGTCTTAAATATTCAAAGCTGAAGTCGGCCCCTTATTCACATTTCCTGTTCCACCTTAAATGGAGCAGCAGTTACATTCAGGAGTGGAATGGAATATTCAAAAACATGCCCAGTAAGAATCCAATTCAACTTTAGCCTTGTATATAATAAGGCTTGCAACAATTTTTGGCAGAAATACTGACAGAGATTTATTTATATTTTTATACAAGAAAAATTATAAGCCAATGTTAGCCTACAAAAAAAGATTTACTTAAGCATCTAAAATGTTTTTATTTGAAAACACATCATATACCCCATGATACTGAAATCATCAGAAGTTTTAATTTTACAGTGATTTAAATTGTTTGCCATTCTGCCCGCTACTACTTGCAGTCATCACCAAATTGCTTCTATTACAAGAACGAAGGCAGGTAAATTACTAAAAACACCATCATGATTAAAATAACAAAAATATGTGCAATGTTATTTATATTATTTACTTTTTTGAATTTTTGCTATTTATTTGAGGTAAAGAAAGCTAACAACTGAGAATTGAGTCATTTGATACTTGACAATATTCTGTAAAGCACTGTTTACCTGCAACTACATGAGGATGCTTAATTTTTAAGCATTTCAATTCTTCCAGCTATTAATGTCAGAATGTTTAGCTCCATAAAATCAATATAAGTCACACTATTTTCATTTTGGTCAGACTCTCTAAAACATGTTACAGCCGTGTATTATACCTGAATCTTACAGTGTATACCCATCTACACTAATCTCAAAATCCCAAATCCACACTTTAGGCTTTCATAAGTAATGCCATCCCTCCAAGATACCAAATTCACAGCTTCATACATTTCAATTATATGTACTTTCTTGAAATAAAATAGTTCAATAAATATTTTTTTCATAACCAGCAAGTACAGAGGGTTTGGTTTCACATATATTGGTTTATTCTGAAAAAAAAAACAGAAAGCAAAGCCTCATATATTCCAACAAGTTAAAAAAAAAGTCTTAGTAAGGATGAACAGAAAGAGGACAGTGTGTTTCTGAAAGTGTTGCAGCACAAAAATTACTGTGAAATACTGTCAAATATCACTTTAATACACTTCAATAAAGTGAATGATTTTAACATTGACACTATCAGAAAACTGAGTCCAGCTTGTGCAAAGAGTACAAAAGGCCAAAGGATAAATATGCAGAAGCTAAGAAAAGTATTATTCACATTTCTTGCAAATCTTCATGTTTATGGCACTTGCATCCAGTTTGAGTAACATTTTTTGTTTGTCAGAATTGCTATATTTGATGTCTTTTTGAAAATCCTAGCAGAGGTGTTGTATCTTTTCAAGTGCGTAATAAACTGTGAACTATTAGGGTTACTAATGATACAGTAAACTGAAAGGACTATACAATAAGCACCAGATTACAAAAAGTATCCAAAGAATACAAAATGGTTACCAAATTGGCATCTGGTCCAAACAACCACTGAGTTTTACCCTGCATTGGCTCAGAGCTGAAACAGGACAGTTTAGTTGAGTTGTAATTGAGCTCTGAGAAGCTTGAGGTCAAATAAAGTTGTCACGTTCTAATTCCAATCTTATCCCTCAGCGAGGAGTGCAGTTTAGCAAGTATTCGTATAAACATGGCAGAGATGAGTCAGAAAGTTTCACAAACACAAATGCCGTACCAAAAGTATCCATATAAAAAGCATAAAGTGTTTATCAGCATCACAACTTGTTTATATTATTTAATCTAGACTAGTAAAACCTCAAATGCTTGTTCAAGGCTTTTTTTTTTTGGAATAATAAATCCAGTATATGCACTTTAGGGAAGACAAGAAGGTGCTTTGGTGTTACATCAACAGAGGTTAAACAGGCAAGCTTATATAGTAATTAAAATAAAGACAGTGTGTAAGAAAATTCAAGGGTCTGTCTAACAAAGAAGAAGAAAATACAGTAATAAATGTAATGTTTCAGAGAGATGAATGGAATGTTAATGGGAGTAGGTCTTGTTAAACTTGAACAAACGGATTGCACCCAAATACAACATTCTGTAGGACAGGGGAATTTAACTCCGGTCCTGGAAGGCTGGTGTCCAGCACAGTTTTGTGATTTTCCAGATTGCCGTGTGAGCAGGAAAATCACTAAACTTGACTGGACACCAGATCTCCAGGACCAGAGCTGAATGATCTTGCTGAAGGACCTAGATGATCTTTTGGTTGTCACAACCTCAATTTTCAATCTTCAATTTTATGGAAAGGTTACTTTATGGCTTTATGGACCTGTAATAAAGCAAACTACAGTAGACAATGCTTAAAGAAAGCCTTACCAAAGAGGCTGTCAGTTTTTAAAAAAAGAAGTCCAAAATAAGACTCCCATATAACACCCACAAAGCCTTAACATCTGACAGTGTGAAAGAGCAATGTCTCTGTGGAAATTACAGTGTTGTTCAGAGCAGACCAAAGTAACATGAAGCCTGTTCTCGTATACTTTAAACATCTGCATTCCGCAAATCACTTTTAAAATCTAGATTGAGTAAGACATAAAGACCTCTGCAAAAAGGCTGAAATTACGCAAGTAATATCTACACAAAATGATAGTTAAAGGACAGACTCTCCAATAATATTTTTCAAAGTAAAAGAGTTAATAGCATATTTGACAGTCATGACAACACAGAACAATAAATGTCTTTTACATTTTCCTCTACATGAATATGTATTTTGTCCTTTTTACTTTGGAAAGCATCTGCTTTGACCAGCGTGTTGAGGCCAGAGACTCGTTTTTCACTGGAGAGAGTGGATTAACACGCACGCACGCACATACACACACACACACACACACACACACACACACACACACACACACACACACACACACACACAAATACATACAGGTATGCATGAATTCACATCCAGACACTTATACCGGCTCTCTTTTTCTCTCCATGCCTGCTCTGGCAATAGGTGATCGGGGCCTTATGTAGGGAAGCAGATACCGCAGCACTCCATACAGATCTCCAGGCAGTCGGATGACTCGCAGCAAGCATCCATGATGCCACAGTCCATGTCACAGGGGCAGTTGCAGTCGTCTCCTAGGTCATCTGCGCAGCAGCAGCAGCAGCAGACCTCGGAGGTGCAGGTGCCGCAGGATGCCTGAGCCACCACCATGTTGCACAGAGTGAGGAACTCGCAGAACAGGCAGGCCAGGATGCAGTGAACACAGCAGTCTGCTCCAGCAGGAACATACAAAACATTTAACATCTAAACAAAAAGAACTTCCATTTATACAAAAAGAGACCAAGTCTTAGAAGTCTACATTTGTCAATGTCGATTTCCTGTTTAAATTACATTACATAACACTTACATTTACATATTGTTTATTAAATATTACCTTAGATTTGTATTCTGTAATTCAACAGACTCAAGTCTGCCGTTTCTACTTTTTTCTGGTCGTCTCAATGTCAAAAGTCAATGTCAAAAGCAGTATTGATTTATTCATGTATAATGTATTCAAGTATCAACTGAAAGTTTAAAATCTTAAAAGAATTTCTCTGCTTATTTCAGTGAGTTGCATGTGAGAAATAATTGATATAACATTACAAAATGCATTTTCATCACTGGAACCATAAATTCTAAGGATTAAAACTCATCAACAATCAAGAGGTTTAAGCAAGACTCAGCCAGAAAGGAACAATCTACTTCAGACCTGAAGGTCATCAACAGAGAATTTTATCCACGTTCCCAAATACATCCAGTTATGAAAAATGTATATTTCCTTATCATTACTGGCCACATTAGATGACTTAACAATCACAACATAACTGTTTGGGTGGGTGGGCATGTGTGAGAGTAGGGAGGGGACCAGCTAAGCAGGGAGAATAGATGGGAGGAATCTGAGAAATTCAAAAGAATGAATTCCACTTTTGGGTTGATTAGCAGCTTTGTGAATAATGGGGTCATCATCATGCAAAAGCACAGGCTTGATCACACAAAGCTGATTAGCAGTGTCCAAGATTTTCACTGGCAAATTGCTGCACTAATGCTGCTATTTCTCTCAATCCTGATTAACATTTAACCTTTTTCACAACCTCTTATAGGGCTGTTGCACATGACTATAAATTACTGTTGTACTCAGCTTTTCTGCAAAATTTACTTTTACCTGGCTTTTATTCTGTTTCCAGTTTGAAGGAGGCATTCAACACATGATCAATGAAAAGTATTCCAATAAGACATGTTGTTTTCTAATGTATGTTAAAATTAGCACTATGTTCATAACAATATGTGCAGCAAACCTTGATATGAAAATGTATAGTTAAATGAGCCAAAAAGAAAGAGATTTGATGGGGGTCCCCACAGCAGACATCAGAGTAGCACCAGTAGTTGCCATAAATGCTTTTCTGTTGGATGCACAGAGAATTAGTAGCTTATTAAAAATAATATACTGGAGTTGTAAAGGAAGAGTATGCCAGCTATGCAGTTAAAAAAGTGCAGGTTTGTTTTTCCTGAACAGAGATTAAAAAAAGATGATGACTCCTAAACCATTTCATCAGAGGCACATCTCACAGCGTGCTAAAACTAGTATCTAACAGACTAGCAGAACACCCTGCCAGCCTGGACACAGCCTACACTTTACAACTGCAATTAACTGTGAGCCAAATGAATGGACTTTTGGGGGAATGGGCTTGATATGCATTACTATCATTCCAAACAGTAAATTTGCATGGCTTTCATCAGTTCACGGTGAGCTGTCAGGGAGAGTCCTCAGTCTGATTGGAGCTGCTTAGAGAGGAAAGCTCAGCCTGAAGACTGCTGAATGCTCATGTTTGTTTAATCAAAGTGGGTCTTTGTAGGCAGCAGAGCTGACCAGCAGTGCAGCGTTCCAGCCTGGACACTGTTTGAACTTTAAAAATGTGTTGGCATGCAGATCTACTGTAGGCTAAAATGCAGCATCAGTTTGAAGATTCTAACTCAGACTGAAATGTAAAATCTAGCATTACATTTCGACAACATGACAGGCAAGATGCTTTGCCCTTAACCATGTTTTAACTATTGAAATAATTAGCATTTTCCATTCTTGCTATGTAATCACATGCTCATTGTTTACAGATGACTAAATATTTCCTTTAAGCAAATCCATGCAGCCACATTTGTCCAGAAGAACTTTTTTTTACTGATAGCTTTTTTCTTACAAATAATTTCTAGATACAGATTTATAGAGTGCTTTATGCATTCCCTTAGATGTATAATTTATCAGCAGCGATTACTAAGAATCTTAAAGAATGAGCAGCTGGGTAATGTACACAGGAGACAGGCAGACTCGTCTCCACCGCAAAACTGACATCACCTCTAGGAGAGTGTCCATGCTTAATGTCAGCCATCGCAGAGGATGCCCAGAATCTGAGAGGTCCAAAAGACTCTGAGGAAATAGTTTAAGACATCTGGAAAAGCCCAAAGGCCAACATCAAAAAGAGGAGCAGCATGACATAAAACAAGCTGGAATAGGCGCAGACCAGTGAGCTGTGCAAAAACATTCAAATGAAGAAAGACTGACTGCTGCCTCATAGACCAAATGAGAGACACAGAGAGAGGGAAGGAGAGTGAGAGATGGGGAGTGAGAGAGGGAGAGATGCATTAGGGTGGTGCTTAATGTGTAGTCAATAAGCAGGTAAAAGCTAGAGCTGTACAATATGCATAAAGTATCATGCTTGAGTAGGACAAAACATTGACAGACGCTCAATAAGTGCATGTATCATAGACAAAGATGCATAATCATTACAAATGATAGACGACACTATGCATGCGATTCATGACAACAGCACAGAGATAGAAGTGGACGGTATAGCAAAAATATATCAATACTTCAAGACATTTTCTTGCTACACAATATGCTTCACAATATTTACTTTTTATGAAATTTGATAACTGTGACAGACAAAAAAGAACCAGCTGTGCCACATATAAAAACAACTACTGAAACCTATTGATGCAACTACTTTAATTCAGTGAAACAAACAGTTGATCAGTTTTCAAGCATCAACGATATTGATAAATATCATTATGCCAGCCCTACACAGAAGACTGAAACATCTAATATTACTCAGCATGCTTATTTAGCACACAATGGAAATTTTTGAGATTCAACTGTATTCATTTCCATTTTTAGCCTTCGTGTTATCATTGTATAAAGCCCAAAATAGTTATAACAATTAAGAAGTTACATACTGTGCAGCCCTAATAAAAGCTGCAAGAGATGTTTGGTTGGATTTGGGGGAAAACACACTAATACGCAATACTGACTAATAACCACAGCAGCTTTTCAGTGGACTCTGTTGCCTTCATTAAATTTGTCAGAGTACGGAAATAAGCACATGTTTACATCACAAACACACTCAAGGTCCTAACCCACCCACAGAACAAAAGATCTCTCAATTAGATGACTTTCCAGCAGCGCTGCTGTTATCACAGTCGAGTATTAGTGCCAGAGATGTGAGCCAAGAACACAAAAAGCAGAATACCCCAAGCGGAGTTTGTGTAATGCTTTATTCTTCTGCTTTGCAGGCTGTTTAGAAGCTAATTTCACAGGCAAACAGATTATGGTAATCCATGTAAACATTAAAACACAACAGCTTGCTGTTTTCCAGGGGGACATAAATGCTTGAGAGAGAACATATTGATTTAGAATACTACTCAACAAATAACAGAAACAAAAGCAGTAATGAGGCAGATTTATTGAACTGTGTTTTTTCAACCTTCCATACCAATTAAGCAGTTAAAAGTATGATTGTATTGAAAGAGGCACACTTCTGTCAAATCAGTGGGGACATGATATGCATACAACACTCTTTTTTTAGCATCATCTAACTGTTACAGTGATAAGCCTGCAGCAATCTGCAGTGATTAAATCTCAGTTCTCAACTTAAACACGTGACGCACAAGATCAAACTCATAATAGTGGACAAAACTGGACAAATGCTCTGTTAATATAAGATGGGTGAAAATAAAGGCTGAAATATATAATTACACACTGGACACATGCTCTATGAGTATAAGTAGCATTAGTATAAAAGCCAGTATTGAAGAAAGCTGAGCGAAAGGGAGAGTAGACAGACAGTGCGGTGTCTGTGTGTGAACTGAGGAAGACGGGCTGGAATAGGCAGAGGTGTGGGCTGCAGAGCCACAGAGCAGCTCTTAATGAGGGGACACTTTGAGCTAGGAGAGCGAGGGCCCATGCAGAGGTGGGGTTGACACATGGCAGACCCCCCACTCTCCACAGCCTTGTTAAAAGGTCACACCTTGGTGACCATTACTAATGCACTTGTGAGCTCCTTCATTACAGCATTCACCTTATCATCATTTCTGACAATGTGCTAGCTACTTTTTGGATGATCTTATGTGGTTTTACCTTTTTCTTTGGGGGCAACAAATGCAGCCAGATAAATAAAAATTACCTATGATGGTGCTTGTGAAGTAAATTAAGAAATGCCACTGGTAAATGCATTAAAATGTTGATTATGGTTGTTTTAGTTGGGCCCAGAGAGAAAAACATGCAAGCAATGTGCAAGTACAGTGGTGTGTGTGGTATTATTTACCCTCTGGAGTGGATCCAGGTTTGTGTGAACCCGTGGAACTGCCTTTGCTCCTTCTGCTGCTGTCGCTGTTGACGGACAGGCTGGAGCGGAGCTTGTTCTGCATGCGCTGAGAGACAGGAGATGGGTGTTTTCTGCACTCACATGGAGAAGCAGCGGCGCCGGCAGTTGCAGGCTGTGTGCCCCCACGGGGCATTCTGTGACCATTACTCAGCCCTGCATGAAGGCCATTGTGCAGCCTGGCAGCGTCTCCCTCAGTGGGCTGCTGTAGACACGCTGCTGGGTGAGGCAGTGGCTTAGGTTGGGCTGGACAGAGACAGAGAGAGAGAGAGAGAGAGAGAGAGAGAGAGAGAGAGAGAGAGAGAGAGAGAGAGAGAGATTGTTGTGACTTCAGAATCTCTTCTGAATCGAAGGACTATTTTTCTGATTGGGATCATGACATAACAGCTCTAAACTTTAACCTTTAAAAACTGCCTGATGACAGAGCTGATTCACCAACTACGTATTTCATCAGAACAAGTGATGAAAAAAAGTATCTGATGACTTGGACACAACTTTGGAAAGAGGGATCTGAACAGCACTAGATAAACAAAATGTTCAGTTCATTTTTCCTCCATTACCCACCACCTGGCAACACAACACAAATTAATTTTACAACACCTTGTGTGTTCTAATATTCAAAATTTAATGCAGTTTAATGTCCACCTTGCATTTTACACCACTAGTACCCAAACATAACAAAAAAAAAAACAAAAAACAAAACAAATTACTCAATGTTAATTAAAAATATGAAGCAAATATCCAGCTACAAGAGACCAAAACTCATCGCATAGGATTCACTAGTGTTTTAATATATTATAAGTCATACTGTAATCACAATTAGGGCTGTGCTCAATATATACAGATATAGCAATATATTGTGGACAATAATGTCTGTATCGATATTTATGAATTTGGGCTATTTTTACACAGCTATTTTCACAGGATACTGTGTGAGAGCTCAGCATTTAGAACACATGACAAATGTGTGATTTATTAGTAAGGACTTTTGTGCTCTTTATTTATTATTAGTTGTAGAAAAGTCTGCATTGGAGAAGAAGGCATTTGCACATCTCACGTTCAATCATTAATTCTCCTCAACGGTATTTATTTATGTAATGTATTTACTGATTTATTCATTAGTACTGTAGGTCTCAAAACAGATTTCAAAGTAAACACTGACCAGCAATGTGCGTTGTATATCTGACGTTTTGTCATTCTATGATATCATATTGTGATGCATGTATTGTGATGTGTATCACATCATGAAGTTAATGAAACTACTCAGCCTCAATCGCAATAAGTAGCAATATGGAAATCTGTCCATATCGCTCAGTTCTAGTCCCCAGGACTGGAGTTGAGAAACCAGGAGCTGAAAGAAAGGATATGTTGGCTATGATCCATTATCAGAGAGGTCAGCCCATTTTGGAGGTGTGACTCAGTCTTCCTCCCTGTGTTCCTTCCTGTCTTTCCTCATCATAAAGCCCATGCAGCCTTTCTGCTCTGGCTCTTACAGTCTTCACACGTGTAACAGGCGTGAGGAGGTGCTGGAATGGGCCGCCCTATCTGATGAAACAGGAGCGGTGGCATTTTCAGCAGTGAGAGCTCCTGCACATTCAGCTCTACTGGGAGCACTGTCTCCCTCTCCATCTGCATCAGAGAAGGAGCCGCTCCACACTCACTTATTGAGCTCCTTTGAATTATTCATTTTTTTTTGCTTTTTTTCTGTACATTTCTAGGTTTGACTGTTTTTCTTTCCTCAAACTCTGCGTTTTGCCTTGCGTACTTGTGTAAGGTAGCAACCCACGCGAGAGTAATCACAGACCAACTTTTGTGACAGCTTGTAGCGAAGCGTTAATTTGCAAAACACCTGAACTTTTCAGAGCAGACATGAACAGTCAGTTCAGTTTTTTTCCCCTTTTTTTCTTGACACCAACAAGTGCAATTATTGTTAACAAGAGGGGAAAAATCCAGCCCACTGCTTTTTAACAACACATCACCGAGGGAGATCTCTGACAGGAATGTAAATGTAAAACAATGCAATTAAACACAGGCAGTGGCTGGCTCTTCATCCTGCGGCCAATCTACATGCGTACGCTCCCAAACAAATATAGACGTTTGGGGCCAACCTTCTGTATCCGTCTACAAGCCGGGAATGTCCAACAGAGAGCGTGTTCAATGAGCTCCTGTCTAATATTCTATGCAGTTCAGTTATACATGTTTTAAATTAACTTCAAAGTCTTGACGAAGCTAGAAAAGAATCAGTTCTAACTTTGCTTGTGTTTGTCCTGTAATTTAGACAGATGGAGGACTTGACACACAAATATTCAACACTGTGCTGTGTTTTGGTCATTGCTAATTCTTACCTACACTGATACTAACAAAGCCCAACCAGGAATAGCTCAAATAGGTAGGTGTGGTGCTGAACATGGTTATCGCTTGAAGACACTATTAGGAAATGTGATTCTCAAATTACAAAAGCTGCAGTTTTTATTTTTGCCTATATCAATAATATTAAGTTTTAAGTGGAGAAATGTAATCTAGTAACATAGAGCTTGTGTACTGCCTGTAGATGAGTTAGACCAGTCAGAAGCAATCAAACACCGATGTGCTGTGACATCACAACCACAACTAACTAGCAGTCTGCTACATTACATTTAGCAATCAAAAAAAGTGGATTTTCTATTCTTCTTGGCCAAAGAAAACAGGCCTGGATCTAATTAATAGAAAATAATTGCAATTTAAATTGTAGTCACAATCATAATTCAATATTTCCCCAAATCATTCAGCCCTAGTGACATGATTTAGCAATTGCACCAGCTGCAGCAATTCATGAAAAGGGATTTATGGACAGACATACACCACACACATATTTAACATGCACTAGCCCCTCTGATTTGTCCACTCAATCCACAACCAGGCCACACACACTCTCCAACAGAGAATTTCCCCCTGCTTTTAAAAAAGTCAAGCTTTCAATTTACAAGACATAAATAGTTATTAGGAAACCACCACATAAAAAACAGAGTGTAAGTGGCAGTTCAAGTTTCCAATTCCCTGGATGACCTAAAAAGTGAACTGTCTCAGCCAAAGGACAGGTTACATACATGCAGCCACATATGCACACAGAAACAGCCAGCAAACAAATAACTCGCCAGAGTAAGTATAACAAAACCACACAGTACAAGGACAGGAACAGTGTCTAGCACATATCAATACAACCTTGCACATGTAACACCCAGAAGCAATATAAGAAGGGCAAGGCAAGCTTCACCTAGATGAAACATAAATAACGCCTGAAGTTTTAAAGTATAATAGGTGATTAAAATTGAAGAGACGCAGCTAACCAGAAAAACATGTAGCATCCTCAAAACTGTGATTGTATACAAGCTGACAGGTTGCATTAAAACACCATGTTATGGTGGAAGAGGTAGAAGGACAGGGAAAAACAGCTCAAATTGGACTTCTAACCGCTCTGTTTCCAACACATCAACAACTGTTGAGAGTGTACATTTGTAGTTGAATAATACATGGTATTCCTCTACACACTCTGTCAAACACATCACAGGCAAACTGGGGGTGAGTGCTTCTTGACTGTCTAAGCAGCATCCCAATTTGGTCCCCTGTATCTGACAGGCTGAAATATCCTGGGAGCATTTTTAAAAGGCCAGTGTTTGATGGATTCATGAAGAACACACAAATATAATTGCCATTTGTCACCGTGTGTTCGGTGGATACCCCACACAGGGACCGTGCAGCGAGGCGCCTGGAGAGAGCCGCCAGTGCGGCTGCACCGCTCTCTATGTAAAACTGTGGATAAACACCCCTCGCTTTTGTGTCACAGAAAATAGCTCCGCTGGAAGAATTCAAAATTGTACCCCAAAGACACAGAGGGAGAGCGTCACAGACCTCCCAAGAACGAATATGTATGAACATCAACGGCCAGGAGCAGCATAAACAAGGCTGTAAAAAAAAAAAACGGTCAGGTGGGAGGATGTAGGAGAGAGGTGAGACAAAGCAGGCACACACATTCATTTGCACTAGTCTCAGTGGCAAGTCTAGAGTAAAAAGAGAGTCGCACTAGAGAAAGGAGGGGTGGTCCCTGTATTTTGGCACCTACATGGTATTACATCGTGTTCATGGATTTGTTTGCTGAAGGAATCAGAATGCTCATTAATGGGAACATGCAGATATTTGCTTGTCACCTCCTCATATCATCATAGCTTAATAGTTCAAAACCTTAACTAGGAACAAGGAGTAATGGAAAAACACCATGTATAACAGTACACAACTAAAATGACAGAACAAAGCAGGCTGTTTGAAAAGTGTAGTCAAATCCAGAACAGTTGGGTGTGTTTCAGTCCCAAAGTCTGTAAATAAAACCACATATTAACTTAAGTCAAGAGTATATATACACTACATTATACTGTCCAAATTACATAATTACATACAGTGGGGTTCAAAAGTCTGAGCACGCTAGAGAAAATGCTTCTATTTTGCATTATTTCTGGTTTAACGCAATTTTTAATTATAAATTATGTAACATAATAGTAGAATCTTTAAGTGCTTACATGAATTTCAGAATTTATTGACAGTGTGCACTCGAGCTGGCATGGATTCCACAAGGTCGTGCAAAAGCTTCTGATAAGCACATCGAATTCACACAACTAGAGCTTTAATGGAAGATAAGACTCAAAAAAATTACCTTTTTGTACAAAAATGGTAAAAAATTTGTTTCAATTTAAATAGTGACTTAGAAATTGTGCAGAATCTTGGATATTTATTGTTCATTTTACTTGTCATAACTTTTTTTTGTCAGAATTTTTAAAAATCTAACTTTTTGTGTGCAGGTTTCAATGAAAACAAACTTCAGATTTTCAAGGTCTCAGGCTTTTGGACATCATTGCGTATAATTACATGATGAGATCACTTACATGTCAGAATTTAGATGTCAAGGATTGACACAAAAGTGGCAAAAAAAATACTGTTTTTATATCAAATTGCAATTTGAAAGTTTTTCAAAAATTTCAAAAATTTGAAATTTTCAAATTTGCAAGAGGTGCAGTTTCAGTTATTGCCATTATTATCAACAACATCGTCACAATGACTTAAGTGGGGAAATTTAACATGCAGCTTGTGAACCGCCTGTAGATGAGTTAGGCCAAAAGCAACCAATCTTCCAACACAACCACAACTAACTGGTACCTGGTAATGGTAACTAGCAGCATATGCTGGACATGCTGAACTTCTCTGCCAAAATAACAGGC